CACACACACACACACACACACACACACACACACACACACACACACACGTGCCATGAGCAGCTCCAATAATAATGGCATTATTCCCTAAGAACCCTCACCTGGGAACTATCTCTAGACACACTTCATATTGTCACCTATGACCAGACTGGTTAGAGCTGGGTTGTCTTCCTTGATTCTGGTGATGGTAACTCATGCAGGTAGCCTGATCTCAGTATCCTTCCTTCTGGGCACAGCCAGGCAGCTGTCATTCTACCTAATCCTATGATTCTTTCTTCTTTTGGGAGGCAGATATTCATCAGGCTTTGCTGCTTGGGTTGGTTTTTGTTGTTTAGGTTACATAGATGTATATGATGTGATTATGTTCACCCCCTTTACCCTCATTTCCCTCTGAACTCCTTCTATTTCCACCTAGCCCAGTGGCTATACCAATAGAGGAAATGACGTAACACCCTCAATCCCTTTTTTGTTCTGCAGGATTTCTTTTTTTAATTTTTTTATAATAAATTCTTATTGTTTATATATTAATTACAGTTTACTCATTTTGTATCCCAGCTGTAGACACCTCCCTTGTTCCCTCCCCATTCCACCCTCCCTCCCTCATCTCCTCCCATGCCCCTCTCCAAGTCCATTGATGGGGAGGTCATCCTTCCCTTTCATCTGACCCTAGCTTATCAGGTCTGATCAGGACTGGTTGCATTGTCCCCCTTTGTGGCCTAGCAGGGCTGCTCTGCCCTGGGGGAGGAGTGGAGATCAAAGAGCCAACCACTGAGTTAACATCAGAGACAGTCCCAGTTCCCCTTACTAGGAAACCCTCTTGAATACTGAGCTGTCATGGGCTACATCTGAGCAGGGATTCTAGGTTATATCCTCATGTGGTCCTTGGTTGGAGTATTAGTCTCAGAAAAGACCCCTGTGCCCAGATTTTTTGGTTCTGTTGGTCTCCCTGTGGAGCTGCTGTCCTCTCCAGGTCTTACTATCTCCCTGTTCTTTCCTAAGATTCACTGCACTCTGCCCAAAGTTTGGTTATGAGTCTCAGCATCTGCTTTAATGCACTGCTGGGTAAAGTCTTTCAGAGGCCCTCTGTGGTAGGCTCCCATCCTGCTTCTTGTTCTCTCCTTCTTCCAATGCCCATCTCCTTCTTCCAATGCCTTTCTGAGTAAGGATTGATCCTCATACCCAGGGTCCTCCTTCTTGCTCAGTTGCTTTAGGTGTAAATATTTTAGTATGTTTATCCAATATTATATGTCTAATATCCATCTATAAGTGAGTATATACCAAGTGTGTCTTTCTGTTTCTGGGATACTTCACTCAGGATGATCTTTTCTAGATCCCACCATTTGTCAGGAAATTTCATGATTTCCTTTTTTTAAATTGCTGAGTAATATTCCACTGTGTAAATGTACCACAATTTCTGTATCTTTTCCTCAGTTGAGGGGCATCTGGGTTGTTTCCAGGTTCTGGCTATTATGAATAAATCTGATATGAACATGGTTGAGCAAATGCCCTTGTGTACTTGAGTATGTTTTGGATATATGCCTAGGAGTGGTATTTCTGGATCCTGGAGAAGCGCTATTCCTAATTGCCTGAGAAAACACCAGACTGATTTCCAAAGTGATTGTACAAGTTTACATTTCACAGGATTTCTAATGTCTGGGTCCTCCACCCTTGGGCAGAGACCAGCTGTCATTAAGCTTAGTAACGTCTTCCTAACAGCCAGGGATTAACCTACCCCTTAGAACATTCTTCTCAGATGGGAAACTTCAGAACAGTGTTCACTGGGCTGAATATTTAAAAGTAAAGAAAGAAATCTATGCCATCTCATTTTTAGCCTATCTCAAATAATTGCTCACCAAGCTGACTACTCCTTGGGTTCCATAAATCTTTTTTTATTAATTATACTTTATTTACTTTGTATCTCCCAATAAGCTCCTTCCCTCTCCCTCCCTCCTCTCCTCCTGATCCCACCCTCCCACCCCCTTCTTCACGCATGCACCTCCCCAAGTCCACTGATAGGGGAGGTCCTCCTTTCTTTCCTTCTGATCTTAGTCTATCAGATCACATAAGGAGTGACTGCATTGTCATCTTCTGTGGCCTGGTAAGGCGGATCAAAGAGCAAGCCAATCATATTATGTCAGAGGCAGTCCCTCTTCCCATTACTATGTAACCCACTTGGACACTAAACTGCCATGGGCTACATCTGTGCAGGGGTTCTAGGTTATCTCCATGCATGGTACTTGGTTGGAGTATAAGTCTCTGGGAAGACCCCTGTATTCAAATTTCTGGTTCTGTTGCTCTCCTTGTTAGAGTTCCTGTCCTCTCCACATCTTACTATTTTCCACTTCTTACATAAGATTCCATGTACACTGCCCAACAGTTGTCCATAAGTCTCAGCATCTGCTTTGATAGTCTGCAGGGCAGAGCCTTTCAGAGGCCCTCCGTGGTGCGTTTTGTAAGACCTGGGGTCTCACAGCTCAGGAGTTTAAGATCGCGCCCTTCCCAGAAACTCTCACAGACAACACAACTCATTGCGAAAGCAAGAGGTTTAATTTAACCATTGCGCAATGGGGTCACCCCTGCCGGTCAGCAAAGAGTGACCCCAGGAGACAAAGGCTTTAGGTTTTAAAAAAAAAAAAAATTGCGGGAAATTTGAAGTTGCAGTTTTGGCAATTTAGGATTGGATGAGGAAGCTATCAAGTAAGATAATTGGTTAGTCTTAGGTGCTCAAGCTTGGCCAGTCCTGCCAAGTGTGGATGCAGCTGCATTTGAAGGTGGGGTGGTTAGCTTATCCTTGAAGATTTGGCTGGAGGTCAGGAGCTACTCAGAAGAAGGATTGAGGCCATCTGGGTTCATTGCTAAGAAACACTACCTTGAAGACAAGGGTCTGGTCGTTCTTTTTGCTGAGTGAAGGTCATTGCTTGCTTGCTTTTTTAAATATCTGTCCTCACAGATAGGGTCACATTCGTCCATTCTCTGGAAAGGTACTAAGAGGCTTTAGCTTAACCTGGACCTAAAATTCAAAACTATAGGCTTTAAAATATATATAGGTTACAAAGTTAGCCTAACCCTTTCAGTTTCTAGCTTGTTTCCTGTTTTCTTCTTCTTCTGATGTCCTTCCTCTTTGCCTTTCAGGATGGGGATTGAGCATTTTAGTCAGGGTCCTCTCTCTTGATTAGTTTCTTTAGATGTACAGATTTTAGTAGGTTTATCCTATATTTCATGTCTATATGAGTGAGCATATACTGTGTGTGTCTTTCTGCTTCTGGGACAGCTAACTCAGGATGATCCTTTCCCGGTCCCACCATTTACCTGCAAATTTCATGATTTCCTTATTTTTCATTGCTGAGTAATATTCCATTGTGTAGATGTACCACAATTGCTGCATCCATTCTTCAGTTGAGGGGCATCTGGGCTGTTTCCAGCTTCTGGCTATTATAAATAAAGCTGCTACAAACATGAATCTTTTAATGGGAACTGTATTCTCTTCTACAAGATGGAACACTGGAGGTTTTCTTGTTTGATCATATAAATGGTCCTTTTCTTGTCATTTTCTCAGGCTGGTGAAAGAAATTACTTCACACCTTTCCTCCTTCAGCTTCTTATTCCCAGCTCAGTTCCACAGCAAAGACTCCAATCCCGCACTCACTTCTTTGTGTAAAATCCCAGCCCACAGCTTCTATGGCTAGTGTTTTCCCAAATGTCCTCTGCTTGAAGCCATTCCCTTCCATCCCCACATCTCTCCTGTCCCCTACCAATCAACACTTGAGTTACATTCATTTCTAGTACTGGAGGCTCTCCCTTCTTGGCTTCAGTGTTTGAAAATACTTCTGATATGTTTTACCCAACATACATGTCTATTTGAACCAAGAGAGGTGGCAGCAGATTCCTGATATCAACCATCCAGTTGACTAGAAGTCTCACATATTAGGTGATTTCCACAATATCACGAGCCATTTTTTTCTTGGATGCTATCTGTGAGAATTGTTTAATGTATTTTTTTTCTCCTTTTTATTTTACAAAAGCTTTTCCATATAGTTAGCAAAGATGTAAGTCATGTTGTATTGTGTTTTGTTTTTAGGCTGTGGAACGGCATGAATCCTTAACCAGTTGGAATCTGGCAAAGAAAGCTAAGTGTCGTGAAGAAGCTGCATTGGCTGCACAGTCTAAGGCTAAATGATGCTTTAGGCTAAATGATGCCAGAGTACTCACTCAGATGCCATTACTATTAACAGCAATAATAAGATAGACAAAATATTTGCTATAGTTTCATTCTGATAACAAAAACATTAAGACCTTTAAAATTCTTTAGCAAAACTTTATATACTAAAACCCATTAAAATAGTGAAGAAAAGCACATATATCTTGTGTACTAGTTTTCACACAAAAAACAGAGAAGGAAGCCCCAATTGAGTAATTCCTGAGTGACTGTATTGCTGCCAGTGACACAGCCATGATGAAGATCCAGGGCCTTGAACCCACGGGAAATTAGCAAAGCTGTTCCCTATATAGGCCAGGCTGTTTTTGGCAAAGCCTTCTTCCTCTGATCCAAGCGCCAGTGTTTACATAGGACTGATAAATGTGTACAAACACCGGGGATTGCAGCTTTCTCCTCCCGGATGTTTACAGTCTGGGAAACAGCCTGCCTACAGACACCTCCTACCAAGACCAGCTAACCCCTCCCTCTGTGCTGTGGTGGTAGAAGATGCCATTCCATCAGTGTGCACACTATACTGACTCCAGCTTCTCTGCACCATGACTGTCTTGTCTTCATTCCCTTGCTGCTATAGTCAGGTTTCCAGGTCCAAACTCCACAGATCACAGCAGTAGTATGCTCACTGCCCAAACTAAAATAATCAACAGATCTTCAGATCTCTGGTCTCTCTCAACTTAACATATGCAAAAGGTAACCGCTGTTCTAAGTTCTGTTATTGATTAGATTTGCCTGTTTTGAACTTTATATAGGTGGAATCATATTGTATGTGTGGACTCTTATTACATTATGCTTCATGCACAAAGTATATAGCTACATTCATTTTATTGCTAACTTTCACCAATCAATGGTAGCTCATGCATATAATCCAAGCACTTTATAACAGAAGTAGTAGTATTGCTATGAGGTCAAGGCTAGTCTGTACTACAATGTGAGACTTTGTCTCTAAAAGAAACAAATAACCCAAGTACTAATTTTCAACTTAAGAACCTAATTTCTTGGACACTGAACTGCCGTGGCTACATCTGTGCAGGGGTTCTAAGTTATCTCCATGCATGGTACTTGGTTGGAGTATGAGTCTCTGGAAAGACCCTTGTGTTCAAATTTTTTGGTTCTGTTGCTCCAAATTGGTTCCATAGTAATGGGAACAGGGGCTGCCTATGACATAAACTGATTGGCCTGCTCTTTGATCACCTCTTCCTACGGGAGGAACAGCCTTACCAGGCCACAGAAGATGACAATGCAGCCACTCCTGATGAGATCTCATAGACTAGGATCAGAGGGAAAGAGAGGAGGACCTACCCTATCAGTGGACTTAGGGAGGGGCGTGGGTGAAAAAGGGGCAGGGAAGGTGGGATTGGGGGGGGAGGAGGGAAGGGTTTATGAGGGGATACAAAGTGAATAAAGTGTAATTAATAAAAATATAAAAAAAAGGAACCTAAGTCCTCTAGCATTTGGTACCTAAATATGCAAAGTCTAAGAACAATTCTAGAATTCATTTCAATGATGAAGTACTAAAATAGTAATTGTAAAAGTCATGGCCCGTGGTAGCTCAGTAACCAAGTAGTTTTCCAAAGTAAGGGGAACACGGACTATTTCTAACAGGATCTCAAGGGCAGGCTGTTTGACACCCCCCCCCCCCCCAGGGGAGGAGCAGTCTGTTAGGCCACAGAGGAGGACTTTGCAGCCAGCCCTGAAGATACCTGATAAAACAGGGTCAAATGAAAGGGGAGGAGGTCCTCCCCTATCAGTGGACTTGGAAAGGGGCAGGGAGGAGACCAGGGAGGGAGTGTGGGGTTGGGGAGGGAATGAGGGAGCGGGATACAGCTGGGACACAGAGTTAACAAAATGTAACTAAAAAGAAAAATAAAATTAAAAAAAAAATAGAAACAAAAAGGTGTGTCAAGTCTTCAGACTGTTTAGAAAGTATGTATCTCATCCTCTCATGTTCTTTATTTAGCATCTAGTTTTTAATTATGTAGGTTTTTTTAGCCTCACAAACTGCTTTTCTTAGGGAAAAAAAAGGGGGATGCCTTAAATATGCTTCAGGGGCAGTATAGGGAAAAATAACCCTCCAAACCAACCCAGAAGCTATAAAATTAAAGGCAGAAACCTAAATAAATGATGCCACACAAATCAATGTAACCAAATTATCTCCAAATTAATGAGCTAACAACAACAACAAAACAAACAAAACAAAATAAAAACTAAGCTAGAAGAAAAGTTTTTTAAAATGCCAGGTGAGACAGAGCCTATCTTCTAGATTATTGAGAGAATATGGTGGACTGTTAAACTTTCTGCTTCTTGCCAAAATAGAAGAGCACAAGGACTCAATTTGTACTCTAGCATAAAACACCAGAGGAAAAATGTAAACAGACAGTAAATATTGTAGGCAGTGATTTGAAAAAGCAAAGGAACCTCTGACTGCTCCATTTCCCTTCCTAGAGAGTTTAAAGATGGCCAGTGAGACAGGGAACCCCTGGAATCTGAATCAGGAGCCAAGGCAAGCAGAGCTCAGAATAGGATGTGTTAGACAGGCATAAATGGGACAGCTTTTTTTTCACACACAGGCAGCAGTTTCCCTTATGTTTTCAGCTAAGTTGAGCAGGTGCAATCATTGCCCAAGACAATTAATCAAAATAACCCCCTGAAAGGACAAGTATCCTTAGAACTCATCCTGTGGCTGGGTCAGTCACCGGCTCAACTATCGATATCTTGTAATTCACAGGCTATCAGAAATGCTGCCTCTGTAACATAATTGTAGGCTGTTACACAGCTCTAGAACAAAGCATGCAGGTTGCTTCCATTTGGCTATTAGGAATCAGTGCTGTAATAACTCTTGGTGCAGTTTTCTTTGCTATGATTTCATTGCTTTGGGAAATGTAGCAGAAAGGCTCATCTTCATTAGCCATCAGAGAGACATAGATCAAAACAAGATGAAATACACACTCTCTCTAATTAGAATGACTATTATTAAATAAAACAAAATAACACATACTGGTGAGGAAATGCAGAAGAGAACTCTTACATACAACCGGGGGGGGGGGGATAAAATTAGTAAGGCCAGGCTGGAGGAAAGTGTGTACAATTCTAAAACACAAAAATCTAACACACAGGACTTGCCTACTTTGTCTGACAATTTTTTCACTGTCTTGGCACACATGGTATGTACACACAAGTAGATATTAGCCAAAATGTATAGGATAACCATGCTACAGTCCACAGACCCCAGGAAGCTGAGGGTCACTAATAAGAGGGAAAAAAGGACATTTGAAGTAGATGGAGAGAGGGAACTGGGTGGACAATCAGGTATGGGGAGAAGGGGAATCAGGACTAGGAAAAAGAACAGAAATTGGTATGTAGTGGCATCTCTGGGACAGGGAAGGCTTCCAGGAGTCTAAGGGGGTGACCCTGAGACTCCTAGCAGCAGGGGATATGGAGACTTAAGTTGCTACCTCCTGCAGCTTGGTGGAACTTCAGTGGAGAAGAGGACACCAACCCACCTATAAAACCTTTGACCCAGAATTTGTCTTGCATACAAAAAGTGTAGGAATAAAGATGGAGGAGAGACTTGAGGGAATGGCAAACTAATGACTGGCCCAACTTAAGACTCACCCCATGGGAGAGTGCCAACCCAACACTATTAGCAAAACTCTTCTTTGATTTCAAACAAGAGCCTGGCATAACTGTCTTCTGAGAGGCTTCATCCAGCAGCTGATGCACAGATGTAGAGACTCACAGATAAACAACAGGCCGAGCTGGGAGTTTTGTGGAAGAGGGGCAGGAAAGGTTCAGGGAGCCAGAAGGGTCAAGGACACCACAAAACCTACAGAGTAAACTAACCTGGACCAATGGGGGCTCAGAGAGACTCAACCACCCATAAAATGGGTGGACCTAGATACCCTACACATACGTATCAGATGTGCAGCGTGGTCAACATGTGGGTCCCCTAATAATGGGAGTAGGGGCTGTCTCTTGACTCTGTTGGTTGTCTTTGGTTCCCTTTCCCCTAGCTGGGCTGCCTTGTCTGGCCTCAGTAGGAGAGAGTGCACTTAGTCCTGCTGTGATTTGAGGTGCCAGGGTGGGTTGGTATCCCTTGGGGAATGGGGGTGGGGGAGGGGGACATGAGGAGAGGAGGTAGGTGGCTGGGACCAGGCTGTAAAGTGATTAAATAAGTAACTAGGAAAAAAGAAAAATTGAAAATAAAATCTTTGTGAGATGTGCGCTACTCTTGGTGGTTTAAACGAGATGTCCGCTGTAATTCTGGCATTTAAATGCTTTCTCACAAGTTGGTTGTTGTTTGGGCTTCACAGGAGGTGTTGCCTTGCTGGATACAGTATGTCACTGGAGGTCAATCTTGGGCTTTCAAATACTGGTATGCAGAACTATGATCCTTTTAGAATGTTTGCCTTCCTTCTGTAAGTTACCTGCAACTAGTACAGCCCACTGTACTTCTGAGGCACTGCTTATGCACCTTCAACTCCTTAAAGATCACTGTGACTACTGATGTAACTGGGTTTACATCTAGCATCTTTCTATTTGCTCTTTTTTCCTCCTTTTCGACATAGTTTTGAATTAGTTATTCTTTGTGATTCTTGTTTTATAAAAATGAGACTGTTAACTGATGGTGGCATCTGTTTTTATTCCATTGTGAATAATTGTTGTCTTAGCAACAATAATAAATGCAAACACACTTATATAAATGGAATTGTAAAATAATATTTTATTGTGTTTAGTAGACTGTAACGTTTCATAATATTGCATAATGCTCAAACGTTTGTTTATGTAGTTAAGTGAAAATCCCCTCATCTCATCCTACTTTCCTATGTAGAGCCCTATTATACTGGCTCCTAAGAGCATGTCACATTTCAGAAAGTAACAATGCTATGTACTGAAATGAACAGGAGTTCATTTTATTTCACAGTTTCACAATTAAGCAACCAGTAGATTGCTGAATTTACAACACTAACAAAAATCCACAAAGACATTTTCATATTTACTTTTTCCATAATACTCCTTTATAAAGAAAAAAACTATCAAAGCAGAGGTAATAAATGCTTCTTTAGTTCTTCACCCAGTGAGTCAATCTTTAACTGCAAACAGGTTTCAGGAACCAAATGAGAAGGTATTTCTGTGCCAGCACATTTACTTTAAAAATAAAAGCAAAATACCCTGTTTCAGTGCTACCAGTAAGTGACAAATGACATTAAAAATTAACAACACTAAAAATTAGGTTAGAATAACCTTCCAAATTAAAACTTACAGCAAAAGCAAGCAAACAAACAATAAAAACCTAGGCCAGTGCACCAAGTATTTATAAAACAAGCACGATTGCATAGTTGAACCAGTAGAAATTCAAGTTCAATTAAGTTTATTAAAATGGACCAAATTTAATTTAAATGGACTCTTTCAAGTATTTTTTTTTGGTATCTGCATTAATGTCATATGTATTTCTTAAAACACATTTATTTTATTTGGCACAGTATCTATCACATGTAAGTGTCATAAATCTTAGAAAAGGAACTTTTTAAATTGTGTCACAGGGGACAATAATGATGATAATGCTACTCTTAAAAAGGTAGCTCTTACTCTTGGTTCAAAAAAAAAAGCTAGGCCTTAAAATTGGACCAATTTCCCTCTGCATTCAAATCTAATCAATTTATGTAAGATACTAATTTATGAAATTAAATTTGTTTGTATTTAAATATTCAGGGTATGACCAAGTTCTATACTTAGAAATACAATATCTGTCCCACTGGCAAATTCTAAAATGTCCTTTTATAAGTCATTTAGTCTATGTGCCTGCAAACATTATATACATTGTGTATATATATACACACACATACATATAGGTGTATGTATATATATATACATACACACACATACACCTATATGTAATTTCTCTGTAAGAACTTTTTTGGAAGATTCAGCTTAGAGGTTTGTTATAGTGATGACTGCATCCTCAAAGCAGGCACAGCTGGCTAGGTTTGAATTATGCTGATCAACAAGTTCAACTGATTACAAAGAGTCAAATACCCTGTCATCTTATACTTAGAAACACCACCACCATTAAAGTGTCTATTTGATAAATTTACCATCAATTTGGTAATCTTTATATCACTACCCTGTTTCTTTGAATGTACTTAATGTAAAAGAAAAACCTTATACTTAACTCTATAACTTCCATTATAATAAAAAGGGCACAGACACAATCTGCTACTTCATGGTATAAAAGGACTGACAGATGCAGTCAGCACTACGAAATTTCATGGTTGTGAGGCTTAAATATCTTGCCAAAGCTTAGATTCATGATATATAGTTTACAAAGTGCTTTACTATTTAATAATGCTCCTATATACACCTTCCTTATGTCACATGCCTCTGAGTTCCTGCAGAAACATTACAAATGCTATTATAAATGAAATATTTCTTTACAGAATAGATTATGAATCATATCAAAATTGTTTTAGTTCCCATCTCAAAAGAATTGTAATTTAGGTTTTACATAAGTATTCTTAAGTATATAACTGGATATATACACAAACTGCATATAACTATAAATAAAAAAACTGAGTTCAACAATACCACATCTGCTTAGAAAACTCTACCAAGCACAATTCTATGGCAATAGCACACATGTATGTAAATAAATATAAATTTTCTATCAAAAAATTTAGATTTTCAAGAGACTTTTTCCTGTTAACTCATAAAACACAAATAAGATTGACCAATCAGATGTGAAGGTCATCTATCACATAGTTCATAATAAGCAGCTGTGAGACCTGGTTTGCACTATTAAGAAGAAATATTTCTAATGTCAATTTCTGTATATTAAATAACCCTTAGCAATTTCCATTAGCATCATTCATTAGTCAAAACATTAAAATGCATTTAACAAAATTTAATACATAACAAGGTGATTTCTTCAAGACACTTTTCTCATTCAAGTACTTAAGTTCATTATCATACAGAGAATAAAATGTTCAAGATCTTCTGAAAAATCAAAGGAAATACAGTTTCAGGTATGCAGCACTACAGATTCATGATCACTTCTCTGTCATGATCATCTTTAAAATAAAGAGTGAAAATAAAAAATTTCCAAAAAAAGGTAGCATATCTGGATAAAATATAAAATTTACTAGAATAATAGTATTTTATGTGAACAACACAGATATTTAAGTGTTTTATAGGTTTGTAATGTGACCAACATGAACAGCTTCTCTCTTCATAACGGCTACATTTAACCATCAGTACACTATTTTTAAGAGTTCTGTTACAATTGTTTGTGAAGTGTAACCTACCGCACAGTGATTTATAATCTAAAATAATAAAGATTATCACACTCTAATTCAGCTCTTAAATGTTTCTGGAGCTTTTCTTTATGCTTCAGGACAGAGGTAGATTTAATGAAGACTGGGAACAGTCAGACTCACTGACAAGATGCAACTGTAAATATTCACAATGCTACTGTTGTGCAGTTTTCAAGAATACTTGAAAAGTTCAGAACCATTACGTAATATTCATCACGTTCTCCTTTTCAAGCCTGAATAAAATAATTGCATAATGTATATTCACAATTAGATACAAAAATCTAAATAACAAAAGACAAATACAATTACATTAAAACGATTAACCAAAACAAGAAAAATCTAAAAAGAAACGGTACATCTGAATGGAAACTTTTGTTTCATATTTGCTATTAAAAGTACACCTGATTTTCTCTTTCCTGTATTATATAAAAACATTTCCGCCGGTCATGTGGAAGAGCTATCAAAAGCTGCTTTTCCCCACCACCTGTTAGAGTTGAAATCCTTCCATTGGGGCCTCCTGCTGCTGAAATACAAACTGTTGCTGGTTTTCATCCACCTGAGGTACAATGCTGGGATCATCATCTTCTACACCAAAATAGTGTTCAATTAGATCAAAAGCCTTCTGGTAAATTTCCTGATTTTCATGACTTTGCAGAAACTCTATTTTATCCAAGCCTATCACAGAAAGAACACATACAAGAAAGAAGTTATGCTTAGGGCTTCAGGGTATACTATGTGAGAATAACAAATAAAAAGCACCCATCCACTCCACTAAGACTGGGACGCTTTTTAAATTTTTTTTTTACACAAATAAATGACTTCACACTTGCATCTTATTCTTTAAGAATGACAAGTATAGGGGAGTAGGGATGTAGCTCAGTTGGTAAGAATGCTTGCCTGGCACACAGGAAACCATAGACTTGAACCCCCTTATTGAATAAAACCAAGCAGGTGATATATGCTTGTAACCCTAACGCTGAGGAGATATAGGCAGGAGCCACTGTTCAGTCCACCAAGAGTTCCAGGAGAGCCCCGGCTAAAGAAATCCAGTCTTTCTTTAAAAAGACAGGAAAAGGTACAAGGAGGTCTGACATGAAGAGACACTAAGTCATGGAGCAAGGTCATAGGCACCAACCATATTGCTGTGTGATCTTAGCTAGGTTGGGAAGTTCAATTACCTGCACCTGAGTCAAAAAAGTCTAGTTTTAGAGTGACTCTACAAACCCCTCAGGACAACTATGCTAAATAATGAAGACTAGAAAGAGAAACAAAACAAATGAACAAATTAAAACACACCAGATCGCAAGGTTTTGGTATGAAAATACATGCAAACTATATTTAAATCCATGATACTTCACAACAAAATGCCACATACAGCTGTTATAGAATGTCCCCAAAGTGCAACCTATAAATGAAATGAGAAAAAACTTCATTCTGTAATGATGAGGGAAATGTGCAACATCCTATTTGATTGCTTTCAGGAAAAAATTCTACACAGATCTGAGTACTGTTAGAATATTTTTCATTCAAGGATAAATCACTCTGGGCCAACCAGATGACTCAGCACGTAAGGGTGCTTGCCACACATGCCTGGCAGCATGAGTTAGAGCCACAGATCCCTCAGGAAGTGAAAGGAGAGAACAGACTCCACAAAGCTTTCTTCTTATACTCACATGTGCACTATGGAATACATGTCCACAAACACACCCTAATAACACAAATATTCTTAAAAGATATGCCACTTTGGATATTGTAGAATATGGAATAAGCAAAGCATTCCTCATGCTGTACATAACCACAGAACGTCCTAAATTCCAGTGTAATTTGGGATGAAAATGACTGTTAACAAGAAAAGACTGACTTTTTCAAAATTTTTATTTAAATTTGTTTATGTGTATGAACAAAATTGAATTTATGTGCACCACATGTGTGCCGGAGGACTGGATCTTTGGATCAGCTGGAACTGGAGTTACAAGACATTGTGAGTTGCCCAATGTGGTTGCTGGAAACAGAATCTGGGTCCTATGTTAGCACACTGTGTTGGCTGGGTTTTGTCAATGTGACACAAACCTAAACGTATCTGAGGAGAGAGAACCAGAATTGGAAAAAAAAAAAATGCCTCTATAAGATCAGTCTGTAGATGAGCCTGTGGGCATTTTCTTAATTAGTGATTTGATATAAAAAGGCCCATTCCACTGTAGATAGGGCCATCCCCGGCAGGTGAACCTGAGGTGTAAAAAAGCAGGCTGACCCCGCCATAGAGAACAAGCCAGTAAGCAGAACTCAATGATACTTTATATTGTGAAGTAAGGGTAACACATCTCAGATTTCATTTAAGACGCATAAGATAAAGCTTGAAGCAGTGTACAAAACAAAACAAACAAACAAACAAAAAGAAATGGGACTTAATAGAGAATAGTGAATATTCCTATAAGTAAATCTTCTTAAAAATAAGTTTAGGTCCATGTCTATTCTAAAATAATTCCTATGAGTTAAATTTCTTAAGAAACCAATCAAAAAAATTATGACCAAGATGGGTTTGGTGACACTCAGCTCTAATTCCAGCATCTGGGAGAGGCAGGAGGCTCTCTGTCAGCCTAGGGCCAGCGGGTCTACATAGAAAGTTCTAGGATAGCCAAGACCAGACAGACCATTTTTCAAAAACAAAACAAAACAAAAAATAAACAACCCTCCCTCCAAAAAAAGAAGAAAGAAGAGGGAAGAAAAATCTAACCAATAAAAATTAATTTTCAGGGGCTAGAGAGATGGCTCAGTGGTTAAGAGCACTGGCTGCTCTTCTAGAGGTCCTGAGTTCAATTCCCAGCAACCACATGATGGCTCACAATCATCTATAATGAAATCTGATGCCCTCTTCAGGTATGCTGGTATACATGCAGACAAAACATTGTATACATAATAAATAAATAAATCTTTTTAAAAATCTTTAATTTTCATTATATGTCCATTAGGACAATGGTTTCGTAAACTTTAAAGGCTTAAGAGATGACACTACATCATATGTTAAATATAAAAAAAGCCTTCAAGAAAAATATAATAAACTATAAAAACAAGGCTTAAAGATCACTCTGTAGTTAAAGACACTGGCTGTGCAAGCCTGGTGGCCCGAGTTCAATCCATAACAATGTCCTCTGACTTCACAAAAATGTAATGGCACATAAGCCCATGTACCCCAGCCCATACACACAATAACAACTAAAAATTAATATGAAAAGTTAAATACAGAACTAGACAAAGAACAGTATATAGTCAATTATGATATAGAAATAATATCCAGTATATATAAAAGAAAAATAGCACTTTTTATACAAAATAAACTAAGAAATTATTTTATACAAAATAAAAAGAAAAGCAACTTAATACCACCACTTTACATAAGCCAATGAAAGGAAATTTCAAGTTATAGGGGTCCTCTCATAAACAGGCTGCAGCACTGTCAACTAAAAGCCCTTAGGTAAATGAAATGAAAAGATAAACAAATTTTGTGCTTACAATTCAGTAATCACATCCTGAAAGTGTATCTGGACATATTGATTCAGCTGGCTATGACGCCTATGCTTTTAATCACAGCACCCAGGAGATAGATGCCAAAGGATTACCAGCTGAAGGCAGCATGGGCTATACAGTGAGTTCTGGACCTGTCTCAACCTGTTTTTGAGCTAGTCTCAGAAACAAAAACAAACCAAGTCAAAAACAGATACGAATAAATAGAAGAAACAAATTTATAAGCAAAAGAGTAATTGTTTTGGTTTATATAAAGGACTAAATAATCTGGAAACAAACTAAAGGTCAATTACAAGTATGTGGCTAAAACTGCTAAAATATTGCTAACACTGCAGTTACAGATCTAGTCAATAATGGAGAATACACATTACTTAAATCAATGGAAGGTATTTATACATATAGACAATGTAAAGAAAGATGAATAAGGAAAGTGAAATATTAAAAATAAAAGTAAATGATGGATAGATTGTTGTAGTATCAGCTATGAGCAATTATTTTCAAATATTCTGCTTTTTCTGTTTCTCTTTTTTTAATTTTTATTTTTTTCTTCACAACTTATTCATTATATATCCCAATTGAAGCCCCGCCCTCAACTCCCCTTAGTCCTACCCTCCTTCTCTCTTCTCCAATCCCCTTCCCCAAATCCATTTAAAGGGGGAGTTCTCCACTATTGCTATCTTCCATAGCTTTTTAAGTCTCATCAGGACTTCCTGGATCCTCTTCCTATGTGGCCTGGCAAGGCCGCATCACCAGGGGCATCTAATGAAAACAACTCATAGAATGGGACAACTTCCTGAACAGAACACCAACAGCACAGGCTCTAGGAGCAACAATCAATAAATGGGACCTCATGAAACTGAAAAGCTTCTGTAAAGCAAAGGACACCATCATCAAAACAAAACGACTGCCTACAGATTGGTAAAGAATCTATCTGACAGAGAGCTAATATCCAGTATATATAAAGAACTAAAGAAGCTGAAAAGTAACAAACCAAGTAAGCCAATTAAAAAATGAGGAACAGAGCTAAACAGAGAATTCTCATCAAAGGAATATTGAATGGCAGAGAAACACTCAAAGAAATGCTCAGTGTCATTAGTCATCAGGGAAATGCAAATCAAAACGACGCTGAGATTTCACCTTACACCCATCAGAATGGCCAAGATCAAAAACTCAAGTGACAACACATGCTGGAGAGGTTGTGGAGAAAGGGGAACCCTCCTTCACTGCTGGTGGGAATGTAAACTTGTACAACCACTCTGGAAATCAATCTGGCACTTTCTCAGACAACTAGGAATAGTGCTTCCTCAGGATCCAGCCATACCACTCCTAGGCATATATCCAAAAGAGGCTCAAGTATACAATAAGGACATTTGCTCAACCATATTTGTAGCAGCTTTGTTTGTAATAGCCAGAACCTGGAAAGAACCCAGATGTCCCTCAACTGAAGAATGGATGCAGAAATTGTGGTACATCTATAAAACATCTACACATTTACTCAGCAATGAAAAATAAGGAAATCATGAAATTTGCAGGTAAATGGTAGGAACTGGAAAGGATCATCCTGAGTGAGCTGTCCCAGAAGCAGAAAGACATACACGGTATATACTCACTCATACAGACATATAATATAGGATAAACCTACTAAAATCTGTACACCTAAAGAAACTAATTAAGAGGGAGGACCCTGAATAAAACGCTCAATCCCTATCCCGAAAGGCAAAGAGGATGGACATCAGAAGAAGAAGAAAACAGGAAATAAATTAGGAACCTGTCACAGAGGGCCTCTGAAAGGCTCTGCCCTGCAGATTATCAAAGCAGATGCTGAGACTTATGGACAACTGTTGGGCAGAGTGCATGGAATCTTATGAAAGAAGTGGGAAATAGTAAGATGTGGAGAGGACAGGAACTCCACAAGGAGAGCAACAGAACCAGAATATCTGAACACAGGGGTCTTTCCAGAGACTCATACTCCAACCAAGTACCATGCATGGAGATAACCTAGAATCCCTGCACAGATGTAGCCCATGGCAGTTCAGTGTCCAAGTGGGTTCTATAGTAATGGGAATAGGGGCTGCCTCTGACATGAACTGATTGGCCTGCTCTTTGATCACCTCCCCCTGAGGGGGAGCAGCCTTTACCAGGCCACCGAAGATGACAATGCAGCCATTCCTGATGTGATCTTATAGACTAGGATCAGAGGGAAGGAGAGGAGGACCTCCTCTATCAGTGGACTTGGGGAGGGAAGATGGGAATAGGAGGGGAAGAGGAAGGGGTTTATGGGGGGATACAAAGTGAGTAAAGTGTAATTAATAAAAGTTAAAAAAAAAAGAATGGGGGAGGGTGCACGTACAGATGGGGGAGAGGCCACTTACGGCAGATAATTAAGAATTAAGTATAATACAAACTTACAATTGCCTCTTACCATATGCTTCCTCAATGAGAGCACAGTATGGATTGATGCCCACACCATTCTGCTTAGATTCTTGTTCTCCTAGTCGTAAAATATTTTCAAGTCCATTCAAAGCCACTTGAACTATTTTGGAGTCCATGACAGTCAAAAGGTCACAAAGTGGTTTAATACAGCCCAAGGTTACCAAATACCTTCACAGAAAATTTAAAAAGAGAAATGGGGGAAGGATGATTTAAACACTGTATATTATAACATCAAACCAAAATAAAATGTTATTATTAGCACTCATCAAAGTGTTTCTACACGTACTTTTTGCTATTGCTATTTGTTTTCTTACCGCTTGAATTTATGACACAAATATAATGCAACAATCAGTTAAAATAATAAGGGAGCAGAAAAAAAAAAGAAAAAAAAAAAGGGAGCAGAAAAGAAGCAGACACAAATGACATATATCTCTACACACAGATATGAGGGTGACAACGCAAGGCAAGGTGCGTGGCACATTTATAACCCTGCATTTGAGAGGCTGGCCAAGGAAATAATAAAAACAATAACAAAACTGAAGGTGAATAAGGAAAACAACTGTTAGCATAACAGAATTACAGATGACTTGTTTTAGGAGTATGGTGACACACATCTAAGCTAATAGACTTCTTTGAATTCAAGAGCAGCCTGGTCTAGGTAGTAGACAGGCCAGGGAAATACAGTGAGACTCTGTCTCAATATACCTACATACACACATACATACAAACACATACATATATACTTAAACACACATACATACAATGTGTATATATTCTCAAATATTGTACTGCTTTTATTAAAAAATGTATGGCACTGAAAGAAGCAGACAACATTGAGAACTTGTCTCTAAAAGTCAAGAAACAAACAAGACAATGATCTAACATTGGTAGATTTAAAATCCTTTGGTCTAAAAAAGACTGAAGATCTATGATAGTGACAGACTGGAATCAATACTCAAAAATGACTATTACAAAGGACACCTGTATCTTAGTCTACCTGAGAATGTAAAAGTCATGAGCTTATCAAATGCTCATTTCACTCTAGATACTGTCACTGAATTCATTAGCAAAAAGAAGGAACTGGACTAGAAAGGTTAAATGAATCTGTCAAAATTTATCCTGTGACAAGTGTTACTGATGGATCATGACTTGACCAAAAATTGGCCATTACTTAAAGCCATGTACCATGCTGTCAGTAATATATATAACAAAAGGCACAGATTATAAAACCTAGTACAGAAGAAAAAAGTCAAGTAGTCCATAAAAATATTATACTATCTACCAGTAAGGCAATAAGGAGAGAACATCATTAAACGAGTGCAAATTTTAATTTTACTTTACACAAGTTGATATTCATATTTGTTACTTCTAGGTAAACGTTAATTTTGTAATTTTAATGCTTAAAACGAATCTAATGCTCATGATAGTATATTCTGCAAATCAACAAATTGTTCCCATTCAAATTTCTAATCTATGCCAAGGAGGATGGGGTTAATTATAACAGAAGTATAAATGATAAAAGAAACCAAATGAAAAAAAAAACCAAATGCTGTCAGTTCATGTTAATGTATATTAAACAGACATAGAAATGTTACTTTCATCACTAAATTAAAAAGTATGTTTTAGTTCAAATTATCTGAGTCACATTTAAAAGATAGAACTTAAAAGTCTAAATCCACCTTATTTGCTCTGGAGTGCCTCCTGATGTGGCATTGGTTATAGCCCATGCTGCTTCTTTTCTGGTACGAAATTCTGCTTTCTGGAGAACCTCAATCAAAACAGGGAACATACTTGCGTCTATGACAGCCTAAAAACAAAAATGATTGAGCAAAATTAGTGCAAATGCCGTTTCAGAACTACGGCTATGTGGAGCACTGAAATGCAGAAGCTTTACACAGTGAGAGGCTCAGCAGTTACAAGCACTTGCTGCTCTTTGCTGAGGACATGGGTTTGCCTACAGCAACCACACCAGAGGGCTCACAATGACCTGTTATCTCCAGTTCCAGGGGATCTGACACCCTACTCTCCACAAGCACCTGTACCCACTGTGCTCCACATAAAATCACCCAGGTACATGCATAAACACATGTATATATTTAGTATCTTAAAATGTGAGAGGTTTCCAGAAAGTTTGTAATCTATCAACAAACTTTAACTGTTTTCTTTTGTAAAGAATGCTCGTGTCAGAAGAATATAAATATTAGAGTAATAAGCTGTAGGCATGCGACTAATCAAATTGATTTAAGTATTCTCTGGCTCAGGAAACTTGACAGATCCTAATAATCACTTAAAGCAAATCGAAAGATGATTCCTAACATATAAAATTGATGGAAACCACCCTGCCCAATAAGGTCTCTATAGTCAGGCCATTCTGGCCCCAAAACTCATCATGTTGCCACAGCCCCTCAATTTAATCCTTATGCAACACCTTTTCTTATTTATTTTTTCTTCTTCCTAGACAAGATGCTCCAGAGTAGCCCATTTTGGCCTCAAAATTCTAAGTTGTTTCAGCTTCTCAAAGTCAGGATTATATGTGTATGCACTATGTTTAGCAGAAACCATCCATTTCTCAAGACTAACTTTATGTTTCAGATATTTGTATAGATAAATTGATATTCCTCATTAGGATAGTAAACACAAATGCCATTATTGAGAGAAGAGACCATGTGATAAAACACTGGGCATCTCAGCTCAGATCATCCTATTGTCATCTCAACTCTGAAAGGTGCTTACCTGGATCTGAGCTCTGTTTCCTGCAGTGATGTTAGAAATGGTCCAGCAGGCTTCCTTTCTAATTGACTCCTTTGGACTACCCAACAAGTGTAAGAGGCAGGGCAATGCAGAACAATTCAAAATGACCTAAAATGGGTAAGACAGACTGTAGCTGTTAACTTAATGGTATGGCCTATAATTATTAGGGTGATATTATCTAATCCGCTATCACAATCAATAAAAGACACAGACACCTGATAGATTTCAGAATTGCCTTATTTCACCTGGAGCAGAGCAGATATTAACCTCTAAACTACCTTTACCTCCCAGCCCCATTCCAGGCCATCAGTTTTAATCATTTCTGTCTGGGCTACCTCCAATCCATAATCCTAAAATACTTGCTAATGTCTTTATTTGGGCCAATTTCCTCCATCTATGTTGATCTGCCATGTACTTCTCCCACACTAACCCATGGCAGCTTCCTGCTTCTTCCTTCTTCCTCCTCCTGTACTTGTCTCCTTCCCAAGATCTTTCTCCTGTCCTCAAAGCCCTTGACCTTTGGCCACCCCTACTTCATTCTGCCCTGTCCAGGCTTAGATCTTTTAATCAGCCACAGAAATAATCTCTTAGGCAAGGCTACAAACGTCATTTTGAGGTGAGTGTCTGCAAATAGAACAGGCCCCAGGAAGCAAACTATTTAACAATCAAAGAGAAAGCATCAGATCATGCTGTTACAAACATAAAAGGGTTTTAGTATGAATGCAAAAATCTTATACTGTTACAACAGAAAACAAATAGGGTTTTAGTATAAATGCAAAAATCTTTTGAATTATTTAGAAGTACAGAAATCACTGAAAAATAAATTCCTCTCAAAGTAAAACTAGGGCAACTGCTAACTTCTACCTTGCTTTTAGCAAAGCCTACCAGCACCAGTGTAGTGAATAGCTCTGTTCTCACTAGACATGTTCTTCAAATATACAAGTTCTTCAAATATACAAATTAATTTAGCTCTTTAGCATTATCATCATATTCTGTGTTTTGAAGAATATTACCAAGTAGAGAAGTCTTGAAACTCAAGGCATAAACCTGTTTTCTGGTCATGTGCAGTGAAGGGAGTGGGACACCAATCCACCCACAAAGCCCTCAACTCAAAATCTGTTCTGCTCACTTAGATGTACAGGGATAAAAGATGCCACAGAGATTGAGGGAATGACCAACCAATTACTGGCCCAAACAGACCCATCCCATGGAATAGAGCCAACCCCTGACACTATTAATGATGCTCTGCTCAGCATGTATAACTGTTATCTGATAGGCTTCATTCAGCAGATATTGGAAACAGATGCAGAGACCCACATCCAAACATTAAGCAGGTCTCAATCTTATAGAAGACTTAGGGGAGCTGGAGGGGTCAAGGACAGCACAATAAAACCTGCACAGCCAACTAACCTGGGCCAATGGGGCCTCATAGAAACTGAAGCACTACACAAAGAATATATATGAACTGGTCCTAGGCCTCCTATACATGTGAAGTTGATGGGCTGCTTGGTTCTCAAGTGGGTTCCCTAACAATTGGATCAGGGACTATGTCTGTCTTGGATCCTGTTGCCTCCCTCTGGATCTCAATTTCCTAGCAGGGCTGTGTTGCCTTGCCTCAGTGAAAGAGGAGGCACTTAATCCTGATGTGACTTGATGTGCCAAGGTAGGCTGGAACCCAGAGATTGGGGAGGGGCAAGGAAAAAGGGGGTATGGAGGAAGTGGGTAGGAGGGTAGGAATGGGAGGAGAGAGTGGGCTTGTGATTGGGATGTAAAATGAACAATAAAATAACGAAGAAAAAAAGATCTCTGGTCATATCCATAGAAATACATGCAAAGTTCAACTCAGAAAATTATTTGAAGAATTACTTAGTGTTAGAAGATGGGATTCAACCTCACTTTCAAAACCAATTACTGACTAGATATTCATTCCCAACACACATTTCTATAGCATTAGAAGAATTTTCAAGTACAGAATAAATATGTTGTTTTTTACATTTTGATTTTTACAAATAAGTATTATCTATTCAGGTATGTGGCTATTCAGGTATGTGGCATATACCTCTAATCCCAGTATTCAAAAAGCAGTGACAAACAGGTCTCTGTGAGTTCAAAGCCAGTCAGAGCTACTAATGGGACCCTTTCCCAAACAAAAAACAACCATCCAAAAGCATTGTCTGCTTTGTCCTTGTAATTGCGATTATGCACAGTGATTTTGATTTAGTGAGGGTGGAAGGTATTGGGCAGCGGTACACTGAAAGTTTAGCTGGTGAACAGTGTTCACCCATACAGAGAGCTACTTAAAATGGCTATTAGTAACTGCTAATGCTTACCTGTTGCACAGCTTTGGTAAGTCTCTAAATAGAACTGTAGCCCAAATCTAGAGTCAATTCTAACATCTTACCATTCTCCCTATTTACACAGTTATTCAGTTCTGGAGCTGTTCCCTTGCTACCTTTCTTCTGGTCTCATAATTTGAATCTTAAGTCCTATGACCTATGTATAATAAAGCACAGCTTCTATTCTAAATCTCATTTCATCTACCTTAGTACTGCTGTACTTGTTTAGTTCCCCTGTTTGCAGAAACTAGAGATTCTCATCATACACATCGTTTTTTACAAAACCTTTTACAGTGGTTTCTGGTTGATTTGCTCATAGCACATGCATTTTCTTGTCTGTTTGCTTTAAGAGTCTCAAGTTCTACTGATTGACCTAGTTTGAGACTTTGCTTTATTTCAGTATGAAGACACTGGACCATCCAAGCAGAACACCTAGTGTCCTTCGCACTGACAGAGCTCTTTGACAGTACCTCCCCAATAAGGTAACTGATGTTGAAAAATGTGCTTACTGCCAGAGATGCCTGTATAATTATAGCAATAAAGTCTTAATGAACATATAATCAATTGATATAAAACATGATGTTAACAATGTGTCATAAATTATGAACTCACCTGTGTTTGAATATCATCACCAGTTACAACATTACCAACTGCTCTCAATGCAGGTGATACAACTTTATAGTCATTGTGCCTAAAAACAAACAAACAACAACAACAACAAAAAAACAAAAAACAAAAAAAATGAGCTTATAAACTAAGTTAAAATTTATATAAAGTTGCAAAAATAGTACAGAAAACTTCCATATTTTTCACTCAAATCCTACTTCATTTCCACTTGGTATCTTGGTAATATTTAAGAAACAAAAAATGTATATCAGTATTATAAATACTAATATAATCTCATTATATCTTATTAGATGACATATTGTGTATGCTTTGTCCCATTATTGTAGTACTGAACTCTGTCACTAATTACGATCATCTATCATATTATTCTCCTTCACTGGTCCTAATTTCTCCTTTATATTCAGTATGTGATGAAGAAATACTTGAAACCATGTAAAAATCCCATTCTTTAATCTGTTTTATTTTAAAGATTATAACATTTCTCCCTTCCTTTTCCTCCCTCCAAACCCTCTCATATACCCCTCTCCTCTATCTTTAAAATTCATGGCTTCTTTTTTCACAAATTGTTATTGCGTGCATATATGCGTACATATATGTCCCTAAATATAACATTTACAGTCCATATAAGGTATATTTTCATGGCCGTACCCCATCTTTTTACTACTAGTGTTTGTATATATATATGCTCATTATCTGCATTAGTAATTATTTATATTGTTTTTACTAATCATTTTTTGTAATACTATCATCTTAACCATATCTATCTATTGATCCATCCACCTATTTTAATGTGGACTTTGGGGCTATTCCTATTCATTAATTTAAAATACAGTTCTGTAATTTATTCTCAGGATAATTTTCCACTTTCATTTCATTTTTCCTCATTATTAATTCAATCATTTCTCTAAGAAAACTACGTTCTTTAAATGAACAGTGATATTTCAAAACCAAATTATGTCCTCAGTATGCTCAACTTATTTCTAGAGGTGTCACTGCTCTAAATATTATAATGCACATAAACAAAAACATATTTAAATAGCTCCTTATTTCAGTAGTCATGAGTTTACACTGAGGGATCCAATTCTAATCTAAAGGCTTTTTCCCCTTCACATTTTCTAACTAGAAGCCAGCTGCTTTAGTTCACATCTTCCTACATATATAGATAATCTGACATGACAGGCTACCAGATCATGGTTTGGGGGCTCTAAACCATGTTGTGGCCTGCTTGTCTGAACACTTAGGAAGAAGCCACTCTCAAGCTGGAGCCTTGACCATCCCACTGCACCTGTCTATTTTTCTCTGATACTGTTGTCACACTGAAATAGAAGCCCTTTAAAATAACTCTATTCTTTGTGCCACATGCCTCACTTGGGTCTAACTAATGGTTTTTTGTTTTTTGTTCTGTTGTTCTTTGAGACAAGGTCTTACCTCTGGTTGGACTGGAACTCATTGTGCCTGAAACTCAGAGATTCACCTGCCACTGCCTCTTGAGTGCTGGGATTAAAGGCATGAGCTACCAAGCCTGGCTTATTACTAATGGCTTTTTGACGAAACAAAGAAAGATAATTTTAGAAGGCTGGCATATAAAGAAGCTGTAACATTTTTTTTGAACAAAATTTTCTTTAAATTTCTTTGCATGGAAAAGCTGTGTTTTAAACACAGGTAATAATAACTGGCCAGTAAGAAAAACGTTTTGAAAACACTAAATGAATCTCCTGGCTTTGTACACTAGTTAATTATTATAATTAATAATAAGCTAGGTTATTGGTTCTGTGAAGAGCAAAAACTGTTCTCTCCCTCTTAATATTTCACGTCACCTTTGTTGCCAACAGACATTCTATAAATACTGGCTGAATTAAGGTTCCTTCATTAAAAAAAAGTTTCATTATTGAAACAATATAATATATAATAATATAATTTTCATGCAGCCAGGCATGCATTTAATCCCAGTGCCTAGGAGGCAGAGGCAGGCAGATCTCTGTGAGTTCAAGGCCAGCCTGGTCTACAAGGTGAGTCCAGGATAGCCAGGGCTTTGTTACACAAAAAAACCCTGTCTCTAAAGATATTTTTTTTTCTTGCAGTTCAGGAAATATATTAAAGGATTACAGCTACTCTATAAAGGGAGGAGTTGATAACTTTTTAATTTAATTTTAAAATCACAAGATAGTTATTTTTTTATATGTTTAAGACCATAATCTTTTTATACTTTATTTTTGATTTAATTTTACTTATATATTTATTACAATTTACTTTGTATTCCAGTTGTAGCCCCCTCCCTCATCTCCTCCCAGCCCCACCCACACTCCCTCTTCTCTCCCTATGCTCCTCCCCTAGTCCACTAATAGGGGAGGTCCTCCTCTCCTTCTATCTGACCCTAGCTTAGCAGGTCTCATCAAGGCTGGCTGCATCATCTTCCTCTGTGGCCTGGCAAGGCTGCACCCCCCCCAGAGGGAGGTGATCAAAAAGCCATAAGGCCATGATCTTAATTGTTAAACTTAATACACAATCACATAAGTACTAAGCATAAATTATAGTTACATCAAAAGTTCCACCAATCTTCTGCAGACTCCAGAGTCAATGACTACTTGAATTTTATCATTAGGTCCATCAGAGAGATAAGAAAGGGCCCAGCACACATCTGCTAACACATCTGGATCACTGCTAAATAACAGTCGTGATAAGACATTTAAGCAAGGTGAAACCTGTAAAAAAAAAAAAAAAAGTTAATATGTAATTATTTTCCTCATTTAATATTAAAGTTCCTTAGCAAACTGTAGTAATTTAGTTTAAAACCAAAACCTAATACAATAAAAGTGCCAGAGAATTCTTCTATTATTTTAAGATTATGTATCAAAATTATTATAGTTGCTATTAATTGGCTATTGAATAAAATATTCTAAAGAATGAAATATGTATTTGGTATCTCTTCTTGATATTTTAGGTCATATACATATCAAAACTAAAAAGCCTGTTTCATGTTTACAAACTTATTTAAATTATTTCTTTGTATTCATTATATGTGCTGATTATAAATAAATTGAATAATCTTGAGCAGTAAAGACAGAAAAATGAAGCCTAGCATAGCGGTGCATGCTTATAAACCCAACACTTAGAGAGACAGAGGCAGGGAAATTGATGTGACTTCAAGGCCAGCCTGGACTACAAAGCGAGTCAGGAACAGCTAAGCCTACAGAGAAACCCTGTCTTGAAAAGACCAACAACAACAAAGAGGAAATGTAAAGACAGATATTCGAAAGGTTTCCCAATAGAAGCCACTCCTAAGAGTCTATATTTCTTTTCTTTTCCTTGGTTTAGATGCTGGGGCTCAAACTAGTGAGCCCTAAGAGAAATTACCTATCCTGGTCTCAAATTTCAACCTTCTGCCTCAGTATAGGAGAACAGACATGTGCCACCATCCCCAGCTATAGGTTGTCTTACTGTAATGAATAATGTCATATATCTTCAACTAAAGAACAATAGGTGTGTTTAAATGCACACCTGTATTCCCAGTTCTCAGAAGGCTGAGGCAGAATGAGACTTTGAGGACAGCCCCTGCTATATAATGAAATACTGTCTGAAACAAACAAAACCCAAAGAAAACATGTCAGAAACATGTCAGAAAAACACCTTAACCCCTCTAGCACCATAATTATTTTAATCCCTCTTATTACAACTCAACAGTGTGAATGTGAGCAAGGCAATTTACAACTCTCAGTGACTGTTTCCAAGTCTGTGAAACAGATTATTAAATCAGGTTAATTCTGAGAACTTCACTATCTTTTGTTAATCTCTGTGGCATGAAAAATTACCTAATATCTGTGTATCCAAATTCATCACTTATAAAATATACACAATAAAGAATTGTTGGTAGTGTAAGAATGCCCGACATACCGGAAATTACTCAAGTATCAGCTCTCCACCCCATCTGTCAATAACTGAGTCTCTTCCTAACTTACTTTGAATCTTTTTAAAGTGGCAAGCTCCCATATCCCTTAATCTTATCTCTCAGATAGGAGTTACAATAGTGGCTTACATGCTCATGCCTTCTCTGTTGAGGATACATCCTGAGCCACTAGTGGACGCCTGGAATAATGGATAGTCAGTATTGTTTTCCTATACACATGGACACAAATGCAATGCCTTTCTAGTTTAACCAAGAATTTGTCAGGCACTGAAGTTCAAGGTTCAACAATAAAATCAGCATGAACCATTTTACTTCTTTACAGTTTTATGGATATTTATTTATAGATTTTTTTAGTAACCTCAATATAATTTTTCTCTTCCCATCAGTTCAAAACCTTTCATATTTTAATTGAAAAGAAAAGCAATCTACAGATTCAATGCCCATCAAATTACCAACACAATTCTTAACAGACCTTGAAAGAAAAATTCTCAACTTCATATGGAACAAGAAACCCAGAATTGCTAATACAATCCTCTACAATAAAAGATCTTCTGGAGGTATCTCCATCTCTGATCTTCAGCTGTACTATAAAGAAACAGTAATAAAAACTGCATGGTACTGGCATAGAAACAGAATGGTGGATCAATGGAACCGAACAGAAGACACAGAGATAAACCCACACACTTATGGACACGTGATCTTGGACAAAGATGCCAAAACCATACAAAGGAAAAAAGATAGCATCTTCAACAAATGGTGCTGATCTAACTGGATATCTGCATGTAGAAAAATGCAAATAGATCCATACTTATCACCCTATACAAAACTAAAGTCCAAGTGGATCAAAGACCTCAACATAAAAACAGACACATTATATTGGTTAGAAAAAAAAGTGGGGAATACCCTAGAACTCATTGGTACAGGAAACAACTTCCTGAACAGAACATCAATAGCACAGGCTCTAAGAGCAACAACAATCAATAAATGGGACATCATGAATCTGAAAAGCTTCTGTAAAGCAAAGGACACCATCATCAAAACAAAACGAATGCCTACAAATTGGGAAAGAATCTTCACCAACCCTTTACCTGACAGAAGGCAAATATACAGTATATATATACAGAACTAAAGAAGTTGAAAAGTAACAAACCAAGTAAGCCAATTAAAAAATGGGGAACAGAGCTAAACAGAGAATTCTCATCAGAGGAATATCGAATGGCAGAGAAACACTCAAAGAAATGCTCAATGTCATTAGTCATCAGGGAAATGCAAATCAAAACGATGCTGAGATTTCACCTTACACCCATCAGAATGGCTAAGATAAAAAACTCAAGAGCCAACACATGCTGGAGAGGTTGTGGAGAAAGGGGAACCTTCCTCCACTGTTGGTGGGAATGTAAACTTGTACAACCACTCTGGAAATCCATCTGGCGCTTTCTCAGACAACTAGGAATAGCGCTCCCTCAAGATCCAGCCATACCACTCCTAGGCATATATCCAAAAGAGGCTCAAGTACACAAAAAGGACATTTGCTCAACCATATTTGTAGCAGCTTTATTTGTTATAGCCAGAAGCTGGAAACCCCAGATGCCCCACAACTGAAGAATGGATGCAGAAATTGTGGTACATCTACAAACATCTACACATTTACTCAGCAATGAAAAATAAGGAAATCATGAAATTTGCAGGTAAATGGTAGGAACTGGAAAGGATCATCCTGAGTGAGCTGTTCTAGAAGCAGAAAGACACACACAGTATATACTCACTCATATAGACATATAATATAGGATAAACCTACTAAAATCTGTACACCTAAAGAAACTAATTAAGAGGGAGGACCCTGACTAAAATGCTCAATCGCCAACCCTGAAAGGCAAAGAGGATGGACATCAGAAGAAGAAGAAAACAGGAAACATGTTAGGAACCTGCCACAGAAGGCCTCTGAAAGGCTCTGCAATACAGACTATCAAAGCAGATGCTGAGACTTATGGACAACTGTTGGGCAGAGTGCATGGAATCTTATGAAAAAAGTAGGAAATAGTAAGATCTGGAGAGGACAGGAGTTCCACAAGGAGAGCCAAGAGAACCAGAATATCTGAACACAGGGGTCTTTCCAGAGACTCATACTCCAACCAAGTACCATTCGTGGAGATAGCCTAGAACCCCTGCACAGATGTAGCCCATGGCAGTTCAGTGTCTAAGTGTGTTCCATAGTAATGGGAACAGGGGCTGCCTCTGACATGAACTGATTGGCCTGCTCTTTGATCACCTCTCCCTGAGGGGGAGCAGCCTTTACCAGGCCACCGAAGATGACAATGCAGCCATTCCTGATGTGATCTGATAGACTAAGATCAGAAGGAAGGAGAGGGGGACCTCCCCTATCAGTAGACTTGGGGAGGGGCATGAGTGAAGAAGGGGGAGGGAAGGTGGGATTAGGAGGGGAGGAGGAAGGGGTTTATTGGGAGATACAAAATAAAGTGTAATTAATAAAACTTAAAAAAAGAAAAGCACTTTAGAGGATAAACAAAATTTTATTTGTAAGAAGAGAGGACAACAGAAGGTTTCATAATGATATGCAGAAAGGCATGCAATTTAAGCTCATGAATTACTTAATTTTGGATTTCCCATTTGACATTTTTGGACCAGGATAACTGCTATATACTTTTTTTGTGGAATTAAAAAAAAAAAAAAGTCAGGGTCAGGTTTTATTACACTTGCATTTGGGAGGCAGAGGCAGGTGAATCTCTTCTGAGTTTCAGGCTGGCCAAGGTTACACAGTGAGGCTATCTCAAAAACAACCAACCAGACAAACCCAAATGAAAACTCAAAAATCAAAACTACAAATAAAATATGGTACCAGTGAATATATTAAATACTAAATATGCCATAAGCTAAAAAGAATTAGAATGCTTTGTTAGTTTCCCCTCTACTTCCAAAGACTGAATTAGTACATGAACTGTATCTCCTAAAACTGGTTATTATTTTTGAGCATCCATCCCCCAAGGATAACCATAGCACTCAGAAATAAATACTGGACACTTTCTCAGTAAGCATGCTGCCATCCCTGCCAACAACCTCCTTCTTTAAAAAAGAAAACACATAAAATACTTAATTTTACATATATTTTATTTTATATCTTATGTGTACAGCGTTTCCCAGCATGTATGCCTATGCATCACTGATGTGCCTGTTGCTCTACAGACAGTTGTGAGCTCTAATCCCCCAATGAAAGTTTTTAAAAACTGTAGAAATTCTTAAGTTTAAAAAACTCAGGATAACTGCTATATACTTTTTTTGTGGAATTAAAAAAAAAAA